GAAATGTTTATACCTAAATGGTTAAAAGACTTTTTATCCATAACTTTTCGTTAGACTACAAAATATGCGGGCTATTTGCTGAGCGTAAAAAGTTTATATCGAACTACCCTTGAACCCTACTCTCAGCATTACCCAAATATCGTGTTTGTTGTTCCCAACGGCGTTGAAGGCGACGGGTTTTTATTGACACCCACGGCGGATTTGGCATAAGAGGATAACATATGTACTGGGTACTCCGAGGCTTGCTGGAGCTATCGAGTTTAGCGGCTTTTGTCGGATGAACCTTTTATGTGCCAACGGCTAAACTTCTCATCGTGCTTACGGCAGCAGTGGGTGCCTGGAATCTTTAGAAGGTTGCTGCATTATCAGATGTATGACCTACATGTTTCCGTATGTCTTGAAATACTAATATTTTGGCAAGGAGTTGCTCAGAAAAGCCTCCTGACATTTGGATCCCCCTGACATTTGTGTCCAAAGACAGAAATTGAAATGGATGTGCCACGCTTTGCGCAAAGAAGATTGTAATATTTTAAAGAAAGCCTTGGAATCGAATCATCTAATCGGCAAATGGAGGCCTCCCGGAAAACTGCACGAAATGCGGTGAGGAACAGTTTATCGAGAGGCGAAGCGATTCGGATTAAGCTGCTATGAGATCAAAGCGATTGCCAGAAACAGAACCGTATGGGGCGCAGGCGTAGTAGATGCCCTATGTCCCACTTGGGATTAAAGGAAATGAATAAGAAGGAGATCCAAAGCTCATGTCCTGCTTATGCTGCTTAACCTCCTACTCTGCCTAAATTAATTTAATGATATTCTTAAATTTGATTGCATTATAACAAAGTAGCCTTCAGCCACAGAAGTGTAATATAGCAACAACAACAGTGTCAATGCAAAGAACTAGTTTATTCTACAGAAATTCTTCCTTTTTCTTTCGAGGGGACACTTTGTAAATCCGGTACTTTACGTGCCAACAAAGCCTAACTATGTATCGATATGGCTTCTATAAAATACACGGCGCCTTCATAATACTTAACTCTATGATTACTTATATCACCAGTATTGGACCTGGCGAAGGCTTTCGCGCTACCAGAAGGTTGAAGCCTCCTCTTCGCATAAGCGATAGACGACGAATTATGTGAGCGAAAAACAGTCCTTAGTACGAACACTATTTCGATATTACACTCCCAAATAAAGAAGCAGAAAAAGGGCCGAAAACGAGCAAAAACTTTGTTTATAACATAACAACAACGCCGAGTCGACTATGGACAATATCCACATTCATGAACTCTCATCTATAAATACCATATCATGTGATCAATCACCACCAGAGACCCGCCTGACTGCACTCTCTCTGGAGCCTTTTGATCGGTGAATTTGCTGAGAACGAGTGAAAGATAAATTGGCTCTAAGCGGGTTAATTAGCTGCCACCCCAACACCGGTTTGATATGCGGATTCCACGAAAACAGTGTAGTTTTAGATTCTTCCTTCGTCTTCGATCTTTCGTTCAGAAATCTTTGTACGATAGTTCGATTTTGTTTGGAATCCAGAAATGAGAATGGTGTCTTGGATATAACCACATTCGACATTCTAAACGTCTTTGCATTTCTGTAACCACGTTTACAGTTTCCAATCTCACACATTGCAATAAAAACGTCCACCTTATTGCTGCACCCTGTATACATACGACCACCTTCCTATTCCTTTTTATAAATCATCTATTTCCTCATAGCAACAATTCGTCATTCAGTGGTCAACACTTAAGGGCACCAAACCAAAAAGACTATTAACAGCAAAAATGACGCCGACTGTATGTCTTCTATGCTCGCAAATAAATCCAAATTGAATGTAGCAATTACTCAGCGGGCACTGATTAAATTATCGTGAAATGTCAGACAAAGGCAAGCACAGAGATTCACCTACAATAAGCGCTGCTAATTGGCTATTCTGCTACAAAATTTAACTTAATTAATCAAAAAAAAAAAAATACGAAAAAAATCACAAAAATATAGCTACTAAATATGGAAATTACCAAGTATTTATATTAAATTTATAAACATAAATACATCATTTCAAAAGGATGTTCATAAAAAAAGTTAGTGCATACATACATACATCTGCCTTTGCTTAAGGTTATATTTTTTGTCTTTTTTCTTTCTAGATCCCTACCTCTACCCCTGTTTGTTCTAATTACATTTGTTATTCTGTTTTCCTTTATCTTCATTTTTATCTTTATACTCTATCGATAACAAAATCGATAGTAACATCCAACAAAATATCGATAATAAAACCGATTAAAATAACGATAACAAAATCGATGACAAATTCGACAAAAATTTCGAAAGCAAAATCGATAATATTGGTAGCAAAATCGATAAAAAATATCGATGAAAATATCGATTACGAAATTTATAAAAGATATCGATAACAAAATCGACAAATAATCGATAACAAAATCGATAACAATATCGAAAATAAAATCGATAAAAATATAGATAGCACTATCGATAAAAAATCATTAAAAATATCGATTACAAATTCGATACAAATTTCGATAGCGAAATCGATGAAAATATCGCTAACAAAACCGATAAAAATATCGATTATTATATCGATAAGTCCTAAGAATCCCGAATGAATGGCAACAACAAAGCTAACGTCAAATAAGAATGGAAATGTATGTACAAAACACATTCACACAAGCACAAGCACAATAAACACTTACTATATCAATTGTTTTTTGCCTCCTTCCAATTTCAATTCACTTTTTTTACTTTTTAGATTATTATCACTTTTTGCGTATTCTTTAATTTCCGTTAATTTAAATTCAGTTGAGTTTGACACTTTTCAGGATTTTGCCAGAAAAAATTCTTCTGACTAAATCTGACTACTTCGGACTGATGAGAGTCGCTCTCACCGAGTGTTGCTCTCTCATTTTTGCTGTCATTTCCGAGTTTAGGCACGCTTTTTGGACTAAATCTGACTACTTCGGACTTTTTCCGACTATTTCTGGGAGATAAGGAACGCTCCTATTAGTAAAATTACACCCTGGCGTGACTTGAATTCAATACTTAAACTGTGTAAAAGCAGTCTTACGCCCTGGCGTGACGTTACAAAAAACAGAGGTTGATTTTGACTGCGATTACAACATTGCAAAACTCTGCGAATTGGGCAAGACTATTTGTAGAAAGGCTTTCGTAGTAATATTGGACATGTTTAAGGCTAATGTTCCAAGTTATGAAATGTAACTGTTACGTTACTAAAATTTCCATTGAAAAAGTTTTGTTGATATTGGTCTTGAAAGAATTTTTAACGGGAAGAAAACATGCATTTTATATCAAACGAACTTTTTATTATGACATCAGCGCCACCAGCGGTTTGATTTTTCGCAAATCTATGTCCTACAACGTTTCAACTAAACATGTTAAATGTGAAGCAAATCAGAGCATAAATACGGTTTTTCAAAATATCTCGACCCTGGCGCCACCTAACGAGACCATTTTTGGGAAAAATGTTTCTTCTTACATAAACAGTATATATTATAAAAACATATATTAAAAACCAGCAAAATCGGCCTATATATAACTTGGATATTGAACTTTTTTTTATTTTTTTACACAGTAGACTTTTTGCTGGATTCGCCCATATACATTTGAACTCCAACTCAAGTGCACACCTTCTTTAAAATTTAAATATTTATGATTATTTGCTTCATAAAATAGTTGCAGGCATAAAAGTACCGAAATAATGCCCTCGGGTACATACAAACATTCACTTGTATAGAATACGAAGATGTGTATGCATGTTGTTAATGCAATAATTAGCATCTCAAGTGGCTTGGACTGAAAGTTTTTTTTTCAACACTAATGTATGTATTTTATTGTTGTTCATACAACTAATAATGACTTATCTTTTAGCCAATGCAATAAAATTAAATTCTTTATGGGCAAGTGGCACACAAATTTAAACATACATAGTAACATTAAGTAAAGCAATTGGCACCTTTTGAAGCGGGATGCAATTACACATTTCGAAGTCATTTAGGCAATTGATTGAATGTACAATTTCATTAACAAACTATTACAGCAAACGAATAAGGAAAAACGGAAATTCTCGTTTAGTCATAAGTTAGAAACTGGTGGGTACAATTTACTCACAACATACAAACATATCTACTTATTTTAAGAATTTGCGACTATTTATTGCCGTGCCTAGCAGGTCGTTGATGAGAGGGAGTCCTCGTTATATACGTGTCCTAGCACAATCCTATCCAGTATATTTGACTTCCAGCCGTGCTTTAACCAGAAGTGTTAATAACATTTTCTGCCGTAAAGCGGTTTATGGTTGGGGATTGCTGGGCCAAACCAGAAAAGCGTAATGTCGCAGGAAACCGTAACCAAGACCATCTCATTTACAATCGAACAAATGTAAATAGTTTTGACGAATGCGTTAAGGTAACTTTTTTTTTCAATGGAACATACAGTTTATTTTAACAGAAAAGCTCTTTTTCAATAAAAAAAACAACACCTTTCTATATTTAAAGTATATGTATATGTTAATTTAATTCGTAAACCTACTTACTAAAGTTACACTATTGATAAATTTACATTCATATTCACAAGTTCAGTCAGGTTTATAGTTTATATTAAACATTTACAAATATGGAGCTGGTAAACTAAACCGAAAAAGTCAGCTTCAAATCTAAGACTGCTAAAACCCAGTTATCTTTAACAACTAACGCTGCAAACAATCAAACCACAAAGAATTAGTTTAACACTAGATCTAATCCAGTTCCACATTCCCTAATATTTTTGAACTTATCCATTATTTACCTGCCAGCTCTTCAGATGGCATTAATGCTTACTACATTAATTACTTCTGTTTCACCAGTCATCGCGTGGCAAGCGATACGTTGAATTGTCACTGCGCACAATTGTTACTCCCGCCCCATAATATGGTATCACATATGCTGAACCATCTGCTGGACCTACAACTTGTGTAGCTATGAGGACAATGTCAACTAGTTGACCCAGGAACATGCCACCCAATGTACAAAACTTTATCAAACCAATACCGGGATAGCCTAAGTAGAAACGGTCGACACCAAACATACCCAAGAACACGGATAGCAGCAATGTGGTGTCAAGGTGATAACCATTTCTAAAATGCACAAAGTTCAAGTTAACAATGAACATGCATTCGTTTACTTCTTTCAATACTTACGTCCACTTGCATGGTAATTCGCGCGTGAAGGTGTTATTGCCAGTTTCCGTGCAATTTATGCCATCGACAGCTAGGCACCAAACTGTTAATGAAAAATATTGGTAGTATTTGTCTACAAATTTTATAATTACGTTTCTCGATACATACCTCTTGCTTTATTTTCTTTTGTACACCCATAAAATTGTTGCGTTTTGGGATCGATCAGTTTTTTAGTTGGATCTGGACATAGATACTGACCCATTAATAGATCATTGCAGTCATAATCAACTTGTTGTGTTATTTGGACACTAAATACAACTAGCACTAGCACAGTAATCCAATCCATTATAGCTAAGGGATACGGGTTTGTTGTTAAATAAATTCGCGATAAACTTCTCTGTTGAAGAATTTCAATCCACAAATATAAAAAAATTTAGGAATCAGCTGACTTATGTCGATTTGTTTACAGAGGCTCGCAAACTAAGAAAATTTCTCTAATGTCTAATAAACACAATCATGTTCAAGATACCGTTAATACAACTAAACACAGCTGCAATCACACTGGTACCGAAACTGCTGCGGGATGCACAAATTTCAGGAAAATTGCCAAAAACATATCGGTTTCACAACACTTCGCTAAACGGACATAAATCCGCAATTCACCCACTTTGTTCCTTTTTCGGATACATTTTCCGATTTTGTTCTTGCAAGGCCGAAAATGCCAAGGCTTTTTCTTTCAAAACATGTATTTGGCTAAAAAAACGCAATGCCAATGGTATATAACAGCGAGGTGGTATTCCCC